TTTGACCTCGTTGTCGCAAATTGGTCTTGTTGTCAGGGCGACTATGTAGAACGCACCTAGTCCGAAATCGTCTGCCATAGTAGTAGTCATGATTCCCAGCATCTGATAGTAGACTTGATACATTCTCAAACGTTTCGCCGGCATCGTAGTAGGCATCATCAGTGAGCTTTGCCATTCTCCGCACCAAGCTACGAGCTAGTCAAATAGACAAGTGATATTAATCCCTCGACAACCGTTCTGCTGGGAACGGTTACACTATCACTTCTTCTGTCCTGGCCTATCTATCTACTCCTTACCCTCTTATCTCACTGCCGCCCTATCACAAATTTTCATTTGTCTACATTCCAATCATCAAAATATGTGCCCTTTTTTGGCAAACCGAGTGTGGCCTCATTACAGAAAGAAGTCCTATTCTGGGATAATATTCAATTTCCGCTCCCATCACAATTACAAGCTAAAGATTGGAATAATGAGGAGCATGATCATCTGAAGCCTACGGCTGACGGAGGCAGATTTATGGGACGAGGAGCTGGACAAATTGACTAGGATCTTCATCGGCAATGGCTACCCGAGCGAAGTGATAAAAAGAAACATACGGGCCGTGAAAAGCCGATGGCAGAACGGGGAATATGAAAGAACAGTAAGGACGATTTAAGATTCACAAAAGTGGATATGCCTGCCTTCCTGCGAACTAACTCAAAAACTACGGCCAATATTAAGTAAATGGAATATTCAGGTGGCCATGAAGGAAAAATTAACACTTCACAAGTCTACCAACGCAACATGAAAAGGTAGACAAATTGGACTGTTTTCAGGAGTTTACGGTATATCATGCGGCGGCTGCGGACATAAATATATTGGCAAAACAGGAAGAAAAATTAGTACACGAATCAAGGAACATCAGAGGCTCTGCAGGAAAATGGATACTGAAAGATCAGAAATAGATGAACACATCGCACGAACTGGACACGAGATCAATTGGAAAGCAACAAAAAGGGAAGCTCCATACGGTGACGACACAAAGAAGCGGAAGATTAGGGAGGCCATTGACACCATTGGGGATACAAATCTAATGAACAGGAGATTGGAGGAAGGTGAAGTTAGCGATAACTTTGCCTACTGCCTAAGCAAAATCGGAGAAAAAAGTCGGGCAAGACCAGCAAAAAGGATACGCTTGCAGCAGGGATCTGCCGCTAACCGGAGGAAAGGGGGGGGGGGCAGGGGTATTCGGCAATCAAGCGAAGACGTTGTCAGTGAGTGATGGCCATTTGAATAAAAAAGTACTACTTTGGGGGCCTGGCAGTTAGGGAGCGGGGCAGACGGATAAGCACACCGTCATAGAAATTGGGGTTCTCGACAAAATGCACTAGAAATCCACTTGAGATGCCGCATGCGACCAGAGATAGGCGTCCACATATTGCTGAGATAACAGTTGTTTAATCAAGGAGACGACCAGTGTAGGGAAGGCCTGATATTTTCAAGCATGGCAATCAGAGCTTAATCGTTTCGCTCAGTGAAAT